CCGCTTGTCTGCCCCCAGCTGCTCTGGCCAAGTGCCTTGGGGTCATCTGACTCCTCTTTCCTCCTCACCCCTCCTCATGGGCTGTCCCTTCAAAGTGGAGGCGGCGGCCAGGACTTCCGCCCAGCCTGTCTGAGCTGCCCCCCTGGTCTCCTTCTTCCTCCTCATGCCCCGTGTGGTCTCTTCCAAGGGCAGCAGCCAGAGGGACCCTGTGGTGGGTCCTGTCTCTCCGTGTTCCACACCTTGCAGGGGCCCCTGTCAGTCAGGGTCAAAGGCCTTAGAGTGGTGGCAGGTGCTGCACTGCCACCTCTGTGGCCCTGTGACCCTCTACGCTACCACTCTTGCCCTCCACCCCCATTGCTGGCCTTCTTTTCTTTTCTTTTTTTTTTTTTGGTACCAGGGATTGAACTCAGGGGCCTTAACCACTGAGCCACATCCCCAACTCTATTTTATTTAGTGACAGGGCCTTGCTAAGTTGCTGAACTCAAGATCCTCCTGCCTCAGCCTCCCGAGCTGCTGGGATCACAAGCATGCACCACAGGGCCCCGCTGATGATTTGTTTATTTAGTAAGGTTTTTTTTTTTTTTTTTTCCTGTCTTTCTCCCTGTCGCTGAATGACAGCTCCGTGAAGGCAGGCATCTTTGCTTTTGCTCATAGACAAAGTCCAGGTGTCTGGCACCTGGTACACAGCTCAGGGAGTATCTGGAGAGTGAATGAGTAAATGCATGAGTCCCTTGATCCTCCAAGGCAGAGGTGGGCACCCCCAAAGTGAGGGGATTCTCAGGGATATTATTGGCCACTTAATTAATTGGGATTTGTTAAAAATGTGGGATGAGCTGAGCATGCTGGTGCTGTAATTGCTGTAATCCCAGCAATTCTGGAGGCTGAGGCAAGAGGATCCCAAGATTGAGGCAGTCTCAGCAATTTAGTGAGACCCTGTCTCAAAATAAAAATTAAAAAGGGCTGGGGATATGGCTCAGTGGAAAAGTGCCCCACAGGTTCAATCCCTGGTAACAAAATAATAAAAACAAAAAAACCCAAAGGCGATTCTGCATGTTAGCAATCCGTTCTCCTGTCATCCATGCTGGGGAGGAGGAGGCAGGAACCCAGGGTATGGCTACGGATGGTAATTTTTAGGGAGCTGTAAAGGTGCATCTTCTCGCCCTTGTCATTACCTTGGACTCCCTCATTGCTTGAGCTCTTAAATGACTTAAAACAACAACAACAACAATAAAATTTGAAAATACAGTACAACAGAAACAAAAAGATGGACGTATGTTGTGTGATAAAGCAAATACGGTATCAGGTCTATAGATGTTCATTTAAAATCTTCCTTCACTTTTAAATATTTGAAAACTCAACTCATGTTTGAAATTTTTTTTTTTTATAATAAAATGTTGGGAAGTGTGTTATATACTTGAAAATGTGACATAAAATCTGGAAATTTTTGGAGAAACAAAGGATCACCCTTAGCTCTCTCCAGAGAGAATGTCTTTTAGGATGTTGAGAGAGATATTTATCTATTTCAGCAAATAAATTTCAACAAATATATTAAAATATATAAACATACGTATATATTTATGTATATATGTGCATATATATATTTGATCTATCTAAATACCTATATCTTTCTAATATTTTTGCTTTGCATGTGAGTGTGTGTGTGTGCACATGTGTGTCTTTTGGTACTGGGGATTGAACCCACTGAACTACATTCCCAGACCTTTTATTTTTTAATTTTGAGACAGGTTCTCATTAAGTTGCTTAGGGCCTCTCTAAATTGTCCAGGCTGGCCTTGAACTTGGGATCCTCCTGCCGTAGCCTCCCAAATTGCTGGGATTACACTATACCTGGCTATGTATTTTTTTTTTTAAATTTTTATATTTTGGCATGACAGTGTTTGGATGAATTACCCCAAATCAATTTTTGATTGATTGAACAAACACACTGATGTTTGTTCAATCCTGTTTTTTTTCCAATTCTAAAATGAATACATGCTTATTTAAACACTTTTTAAAAGTAGAAAATAATTCAAAAGAAAATTAATGCCTCTAATCGGGACAAAGTTTCATGAAGTTTTAGTAACATACGATCTATATTTTCCAACTAAAAACTACAAGTTCATCAACATGAGGGTATTTTAAAAATCTTAAAAAATTTTCATTATCAAAGTAATTCATACTGGAAAAGTTCAAACAAATCAAATTATAGAACATAAAAGTTTAAAACTCCTTGAATCTCAGTCACTTACTGCAATGTATTTTTGGTGTGTTTCCTCGGATCATAATAGGGCATAATACATTTTAATTATAGATGCATTTTGAGCAAAGATGGAATAATAATGCCTTCCAACTTGCTGATTTGGATGATTTCCATGTCTGCTGCTGTGACCCACCTTCTCTCTTAACCCCCGTTTGGGTTGTTTTCCATGATGCATTTCAGAGGCCAGGGATTGCCCTCAATTTGCTTGCTAAGGAAAATGCCTGTCACACTGCCTTTGTCACTGTGCTTTTGTGGGGAGATAAAGGCTTTTTGTGGTGAAATCCCGTGGGTGAGCAGAGTCTCAGCTGGCCATTGTTACCGAGTGTGCTGCGTAGGAGGGTCTCGGTCACTTCACTGTGCAGCTGGGGGTCCCCTGAGCCCTTCCCTGGAGGAGGCAACCTGTTCCCGTGTCTGGCGGCGCTCTGCTGAGCCGAGCCTGGTGTCACTTGCCTGGATTCCTGGGAGAGCTGTGGGGCCTTTCATGACAGAGGTTGGCAAACATTTTCCCTAAAGGCCCAGGTAGTAAACGTTGCAGGTTTTACAGTTTAGATGGTGGCTGCCACAACGTCTCACCCTGCTGTCGCAGAGAGCAAGCAGCTGCAGACGGAAGGTGAATGTGTGAGTGCGGTCACGTTCTCACAGACGATGACATTTGAATTTCCTGTGTGAAAAGATATTCTCTTTGGACTCTTCCCCAGCTACTGAAAACTCTAAGAAACATTTTGAGCTTTCCGGCAGGCCATACCAAAGCAGACAGAGGGCCAAATTTGGCTCTGGACGGTAATTTTCGTACCTTTAAATTGAACATATGAGGTTTTGAATCCTTAATTATGACTCAGCAGGGCAGGCGTGTGTGTGTGTGTCATTAGGTAATTGCTTTTCTGATTGGATTTTGGTGGAAGAGGGTAAATTATGCCTATCCTTAGTTCATGGCACCCTGACTTCTTGGGTCCCTTCTTTTTTTTTGGGGGGGGGTACTGGGGATTGAACTCAGGGGCACTCGACCACGGAGCCACCTCCTCAGCCCTATTTTGTATTTTATTTAGAGACAGGGTCTCACTGAGCTGCTCAGTGCCTCGCTGTGGCTGTGGGTCTGTGGGCCTTTAGTTCACTTAAGAGATGTTGTGTGACCGAGTCCAACCTTCATTTCCCAGTAGGCACTGTTTTAAAGTCCCTCTGGGGAGGTGCACCTCAGGGGCAGTGCACTTGCTTAGCATGTTTGAGGCCCTGGGCTCCATCCCTAGCACCTTGAGACCCCCCATGTTGCCCTGTGGACATCAACTCCCTACTTTTAACTAGGGCATAGGACTCCATACGGGAGTCCTCTACTTTTTTTTTTTTTCCAATATTTTTTTGATTGTTGATGGACCTTTATTTTATTCATTTATTTATACGTGGTGCTGAGAATCGAACCCAGTGCCTCACACATGCAAGGCAAGTGTGCTACCTCTGAGCCACAACCCCAGCCCATGAGTCCTCTACTTTTTACTTCTTATTCATTTTGGGGGTGCTGGCATGGAATGTGGGCAGCCCCTGTACTCCTAGGAGCAAGCAGGCCGGAGCCCCTCACCGTGTCTTCACCGTGTGGAAGGCGGTGCCGGTTCAGATGGCAAAGGTTCAGAGTGGTTGGAACCAGGTGCTGATGGGCCTGTCTCCAGAGGTCCTGGGGGGGTGGGTTTCCTTGATCATTAGAGTCTTATGATTGGCCTGTGCCGCAGAGGCTAGCCCACCCCAACTCTGGTCAGAGTGGGAAACTCCCCACCCCCAGTGCACAGCACAGGTTTGACCCTGGGGTGTCAGTGGTGTGAGTGGATGTGATCTTGAACCTCTCTACCCCGTGTTCCCCTAACAGGCAGGGACTTGGGAGCATCTACAGCACCCTTCCCACCTTCTTCACACACACACACACACACACACACACACACACACACATGTTCACGTGTTCACACACATGATCACGTGTTCACACACATGATCACGTGTTCACACACGTCCACTCACGCGTGCTCTCACCCTCTGCCTAGGCTCCACCCACTCACCTGAGCACTCAAGGCCCTTCTCTTTGTGCTGAGCAGCCAGGAGCACCTCATTGCCTCAGGCCCATCCCGGTTCTCTGTAGGGCCCTTGGCCATGTTGGGGTGCCTGAGGGGATGCCCTGTGGACTGGACAGCCTCAGGTGGCAGTTCTAGTCAAAACAACCAGTGACGGTAGCCTGACAGTCTGTGTGTAGTCAAGACGTGGACCTGGGGATTAGCCTGCCTGATGTTGAGTCCTGGCCATGTCACTCACGAACTGAGTGGCTTTGTGCAAATTCGCGCACATCTCTGAGCCTTATAGATGGGGTTCAGGATAGACAGTACTCATCTTATAGGATGGGTGGTGCGTGGACTTATTGAGGCACGCGTGTGAAATAAAGTGCTCAGTTCAGAGTAACAGTTCGTTTAAAATATTCCTAGAAAGAGTCACAACGAGAGAGATCCAGATAACAAACCTTTCTGATTTGCACTTTGTCATTTGTAAGGTCAGGGTGGGTTTTGTGGGGAGGCAGCTCCGTGGTCCCTGCAGGACTGGAGCTCAGGCTTGTGAGGTGGACCAGCATTAGACTAGCAGGGCAGGGCTTGGGACACAGGTCCTGCTGACCCGATTGCTGGGAACTGCTGACTCAACCCTCCTGACGGCGCCCCACCCCTGGTTCCAAGGTCTCATGCCACCACTGACATCCCTCTTCTTGCTTTTTCCAGCCAGAGCCCAAGCCTGGAGACCTGATTGAGATTTTCCGTCCTTTCTACAGACACTGGGCCATCTACATTGGCGATGGATATGTGGTCCACCTGGCCCCTCCAAGTAAGGGCACCCAGGCCTCTGCTGTGCTGGGCTGTGCTGGGCCCAGGGGCTGGGGAGAGGGGGATGGGAGAACCACACATAACAGGGGGCTCCAACTTCCTCCTTGCTCCCCAACTGGGGTTTTGTTCCTGTTAACAGAAGGCAGGCAGGCAGTTTGGAATGGGGCAATGGTTCTTGAAAAGGGGCTGAAGAAGCATCCAAGGAGGCAGCTCTGCTTTTTTTGTGTGTGGGGGGTGCTGGGGATTGAACCCATAGCCTTGAGTGTGCGAGGCAAGCACTCTACCAACTCAGCTAAATCCCCAGCCTGGCAGCTCTCCTTTTAAACAAAGACTCCTGGAAAGAACGCAGGTGTTGGGCAGACAGACTTGGTTATGAGTTCATTTGGGCTTTCCCGCCTTGGTTGGTTTATTCCTAAACTGAGGCTAAGAAACACTTACCTTTGAGTCCGGTGGTGAGAATTCCCCATCCCCTTTCTTAAACTTTTTACTTAAACTGGAAAACAACACAAATATAGCCAAGCACACAGATGCACTAGAGGGTAAGTCAGTGAACTGAAAAAAAACCATCTGCCATCAGAGTTGGCCCAGTTTTTGGCCGCTTTGAACAGAGCTGGTGTGGACATCCTTGAATGTGTCTTTTGTTCATCTCTTTACTCTTAACTAATGGCCTTAATTAATGGAGTAACCAGAGTGGATGTCCTCTTCCCCACCCCTGTTTAACCAAACCACCAGGCTCTGTATGAGCAGAATCTGCATCCAACTGGATGGTTCTAAAGGGTACATCGGTCATGCCACTCTCTCCTTAAAATTCTCTCCCAGTGACTCAGGTGTAGCATGAGGAAGGCCCAGGGTGCCATCCCTGGCACCCCAAAAGAAAAAATCCTCCATTGGCCTTTCCCTTATATGTAGAACCAGATCCCGGTTAACCTAGAAACGATAGTCTGTCCTGTGGACGCGGGGCCTGCCTCTCTGGGCCTCCTTATCCTGTCTCTTCCTGGGCCTCTAGGTGGCAGCCACGGTGGCTTCCTTACTGCCCCTTGGGCCTGCCACACTCTTCCCTTGGTGGGGTCTTTTGGCTTTTGCTGTCCCTCTTGCTTGGCGTGCTCTTCTATATAAAAATAACAGCCGACTGTTGCCTCTCAGCCACTGGGACTTAGGGCCTGGCAGCCCAGCTGTGGCTTCTGTGCCTTTAACCACCATGCTCTGCTGCCCACTTGGACATTTCTGTGTCCAGTCACGGGTTGTTTGCCAATCCACATGCCCTTTCTTACTCTTTTCTTTAATAGAAAATGTGTGTTTGCTCAGCATTGGCCCAGCAAAGTGAAGTCACACGTGCAGACCCCTCAGGCCGTCAGTGATAGAGCCGGAATCACTCACAGGGTGGCACCGAGGGGACAGAGTTTAAGGAAGCCCTTACCTAGGTGTTGCTGCTGTCATGCATGTCGCTGAGAGCTGGTACCTGCTAAATATTGTGCCACATGCACGTTGCTTGCCTCACCTCGTCCCAGCCCTGTTCCCCACCCCACCTGTGGGCTTCGGGTGGGTGGCTGAGCCTCAAGGGCGCAGCCTGTCTACACACGAGGCCACCTGGCTCTCATTTACTTCGGCGACTCTCCAGCACCACCTCCTCTGGCCACTAACTCTGAATTCCTCTGACTTTCTAAAGATCTCAGGGTTGTACTCAGGGCAGAGGGCTGTTGTCCTTTCTGGAAAGCCGAGCAGAGCGGGATCTGGAATCTGATTAGCCCTTGCTGCCACTGCTTGTTGCTGTCCCATGGTGTCACAGTTGAAGGCTGGTCCTGCCCAGTTGAGGGGGGTACTATTGCTGCACCTGGGGGGTCTGATTCTGGCAGGGCTACAGAGGCTCTTTACCGGTGGGCTTCCTCTTGGGGGGGTGCTCCCGGGCTCCTGCGTCCACCTCTTGGGTGCACACATACTTTTTCAGTGACTATGCCCAGTGCATGCCCCTGCCCATGATGCAGGTGGCTGGATAGGGAGGTGCTGGGTCTGTGCTGGCATCAACTCTAGCCTCTGGGCCTTGGTCAGGACTGCTGGTGTCCCTAGGGGCCCTCCTTAGCCTCACACCTAGGGAAGCAGCCATGGGGTTTTGGTCCCTCTGCTCCCAGAAGGTGGGGACTGCTCTGAAATCAGTCACCTTTTCTCTGTCCTGTGTCCTGAGGTCCAGGAGTTGTAGCCCTGATGGAATCACAAAAGATTCACACTCTTCTCTAAGAAGAAAAGGTGTGCTCAGAGCTCATATTTGCATAATCAAGAGGGCCAGTTAGTTGTCAAGGGCACAGAAAACCAGCTTCTCTAGGCTCACAGAAATTATCATAAATCCTGGAACTTCACTAGTCCTTACTTTAGGTAAGAAAACCAGGACACGGAGACCACACGCCCTCTCCAAAGCCACGCAGTCATGTCTGGACCCTTCTGGTGCCAAGGGCAGATGCTCAGCTGGGGACAGTTCTGATTCTCTGGGGCCCTTTCCTGGGCCTCTCCTCTGTTTCCCCTTTGTGGATCCTCAGGTGAAGTGGCAGGAGCCGGTGCGGCCAGCATCATGTCCGCCCTGACGGACAAGGCCCTAGTGAAGAAGGAGCTGCTGTATGACGTGGCCGGGAGAGACAAGTACCAGGTCAATAACAAGCACGATGACAAGTACTCCCCGCAGCCCCCCAGCAAGATCATCCAGCGGGCGGAGGAGCTGGTGGGGCAGGAGGTCCTCTACAAGCTGACCAGCGAGAACTGCGAGCACTTTGTGAACGAGCTGCGCTACGGGGTTGCCCGCAGTGACCAGGTGTGTCCTCAGCCTGTGTCCCCCTCCCAGGAACCAGGCCATTCCCAGCTGACAGTGGCTGGGCCTCAGTGTGGGGGGGGAGAGAGAGCCGAACAGGATGTGCTTCCTGTCCTCAAGGGTGTCACAGTCCTGGTGGGAGGACAGTCAGACATGGTGGGACGTGACAGCCAAGAAAGGAAGTCATGGCTGTGGTGATCAGCCTCATTCCTGAGCCCTCCCTGGTGCCTGGCCCCGGGATGAGCCTCTGTAGCCTGGAGGTTCTATTATTCCCGCTTAACAGATGGGAAAACGGAGGCTTCCAGTGCTTCTGGAACTGTCTGTGGCCGTTCATTTCACCCGACAAAGCTCTGTTGGGTCTCCAGACCTGCACCTGTCTTTTCCTTGGAGTCAGATGGGCCTACGCCGATGAATAGCAGAGGGGGCACTTAGCCTCCTTGGGCTTACAGTCTCCTCAGCCCTGCTGAAGTCCAAGAGGAGGCCCCAGGGCATCCCAGGGGATGGCACTCAGCACATCTGTTTACTGGGGCTAATGGTCTTCAAAACAGTGTCCTGGGCTGGGGATGTAACTCGGTGGTAGAGTGCTTGGCTGGCATGTGTGAGGCCCTGGTTTCCATCCCCAGTGTGAGTGTGTGTGGGGGAGGGGGGCAAGAAAAAAGCATTCGACTTCTAAGTAACAAGGCTGTCATCCGGGCACGCCCTTCGCTAGCCTCCTAAAGATCCCGGGCACTTCTCTCCTGCACTGATGTTTTTATCCTCTGAAGCTCACATCTTTCTCTCTCTTGGTTTACTTCCTTGTTTTCGTTGGACTAGTTTCCCTAATCGTTTTATTGAAAAATAGTGCATTGTGAAAAGAGCTCGGGTGCCTAGAAATGTCTCTGGTTTGCCCTCACATTTGATTGACAGTTTGGCTAAGTGTAGAACTCTAGGTTGCAAATCAATTTTTTTTTTCTAGACTTTTGAAGGCATTGATTCACTGTCTAGATTTTGTTATGGTGGCGGTGGAGTCAGAAACCATGCAAATTCTTTTTTTTTTTTTTGGTACCGGGGAATGAACTCAGGGGCACTGGAATACTGAGCCACATCCCCAGCCCTATTTTGTATTTTATTTAGAGACAGGGTCTCACTGAGTTGCTTAGCATCTCGCTTTTGCTGAGGCTGGCTTTGAACTCACGATCCTCCTGTCTCAGCCTCTCAAGCCACTGGGATTACAGGTGTGTGTCACTGAAACCGTTCTATTTTTGAGCCTTTAAATGTGGCTCATTTTTTTCCCCCAGAGCTATGGAATCTTATCTTTTTTTCACTATGATATGCCTTGGGTGGGTCTGTTTCATCTATTGTGCTGAACACTTGGTGATTCCTTTCAATCTAGAAACTCCTTTCTTTTAATTCTGGGAAATTTTCCATTTTGACTTCTCTGGGACTCCTGCTCTTGGGATGTTGGACCCTGGATTGCTCTCCTGATTGTTTTATCTTCTTTTTCCTGTTTTTCATTTGTTGATCTTTTTGGATTAGAAAACTAACATTCATTGGCAGATTTAGGTATAATGAAAGTTTCATTTTTAAATATAGCAATGATTATCAGCATGAAAAAGAGAAACTTACACTTAAAAGATTCTGTGTTATCATTGCTGATATTGCATAAAAGTCAATCATGTATGATTTCCTCTTCAGGTAAATTTCCCTATATCTATATAGCAATAAACTCCAAATATAGATTACAATACAACCTTGGGAAACAGCAAGATTCTCCATAAAATCAAGGGTGTACATTAGGAAGATTTGCAAAATAAATCCTAATCATCTCATTTTTATCTCTTCTTGGGTTCTATTAATAGAATAATGGACAGATCCACAAGTTTCTGTAAGTAGAACATTTTTCTTACTGCCAAATTATTACACAGTTTAGTAAAATATGTATATCATTAGGCACAAATGATATTTAGAACATTTAAATGAAATTTCAAATCTTGAGATAGTGAAATAACCAGGAAACATTTTCTACCATTTCTTCTTTTTATAAACGATAATTCTACTCTTGTGGCAAAATGAAACAACACGAACTGCACACATAACCCTTTTTTTCATGTGGCTTTAAGCCTCAACTGATCCATCCAGGGGAAAGAGGCCAACATAATGACGGTGCCACAGACCAATCCACTTAATCCACCATCACAGAAAGTGCAACCAGAATATAACTTAAAACCAAGAGAAGTGCCACCTGTTTTGTTGCAAAGATTTCCTCTTCACTTTTTTGATCTAGGATGTGGGTTTCTGAACCTCAGTGGCTGTTGACAGTTTTGGGCCAGATAATTCTTCCTGACTGTGACACCAGGAGCATCCCACCCCAGACCAACAATGTCCGGAGGCATTGCCACATTTCTTCCTGGGGCAAAATTGTCCCCATTTGAGGACCCCCATCCCAGGGAAGTCATGACTATAATACCTGCTGGTGAGCCAAATTGAAATGTAACCTTCCCAGGTGTCCCTCTCACTAACAATGGCCAAATTAGTAAAAAACGGGAAAAAGTCCAGCCGCATTTTTCTTCGCAAATGCTGTCAAAAGCCATGACTGTCCCTGTCATTGACTCATGAAGGCATTTTGGTTTTTAAGAATCTGATGAGTCATTATCTGCACTGGCTCTTTGCAGCAGGTCAGATTTCTATCAACAGAG